GAAAGAAAGAAAGAAAGAAAGAAAGAAAGAAAGAAAGAAAGAAAGAAAGAAAGAAAGAAAGAAAGAAAGAAAGAAAGAAAGAAAGAGACAGACAGAAACTAGCTAGCTTTGTTTCTATTTGTTAGAAACACATGACTTACGGGCTGTGAGTATGTGACTTTATGTGTGTGTACTTGTAAATTTAGCATACATTTGTAAATCATCTAGCTGAAATATAATGTTGTATGCAATTTCCCCAAATACCAGGATTTTTTCACAGGATTTTTAGGGGACAAGGATATAACCCAAAGTAGAATGGTGTTCCAAATTATTATGAATCTTGGAGATATGAATTACAATTTGCTTTAAAAAAATCCCTATAAGAAAAATTCTATATTGTATTTAATTAGTCTGTGGCTATGTTCATCCTTCACTCATTTCCTGTACCCCATCCCATGATTTCATTTTCCTAAATGTAGAAAGTGTTCTTTACATACTTATTTTACAAACCTTAACCTAAACCTCATTTAGATTAGAAATAAAGAATTCTACAATAAAGCTCAACTGTGTTTAGACTTGGGTATTAATCACCAGCCCTGTAAAATGGATGTTTGCCATCACAAATGAAATTCACATGCAAAAGTATCACATTGAAGTTGGAAGCAATAAGAATTGGCTCAAAGAGAACAATCTTTGCTATTTTGTTATGGACAAAGTTCATTAGTTAAGATTCTCTGAACAAAATTGTTCTGAACTTAGTTTTGCAATAGTCCCAAAGCCACATACTTCTAGACAATTCAGCCATTCCGTGCCTTTTCATGGCAGTCTGGGCCCCAAGTAGGTTACGCTGAAAAATAGCACTGACAAAAACAAACACCAGTAGTGCAAAAACTTGCCTGACCAAGTAGATAAGGCAGCTACTGACAACTTCATCTGTATTTTTTTTTTCAGAAACAAAATCAACATCCTTCATATCGCAGATATATTTAGAGCTAAGGCGTGTATACTGTATATTCGGGAACAAAGTAAAATAGGCTATTTCTTTATGACTCACTTTTGCCTGCACTTCTATTTTCCATAAAGTACTCCTACTATGTCTGTGCAAATGTGTTTTTGTGTGTGTGCACAGGAATGTGCTGGATTACAGACATATGTTTTCAATCCCAGAAGCAGTTCCTTTGCCATCAACTGGGCACATCCAGTTCTACTAAGAGGGCAGGTCCACATTCCGTCCTTCTGCCGTCAGATTATATTGATCCATGCCATGGTAAGACCACACTTGGAGTACCACATCCAATTTTGGTCACTATGATGTAAAAAAGTTGTCAAGACTCTAGAAAGAGTGCAGAGAATAACAAAGTTGGAAGGAATCTTGCTCAAGCAGGAAACCCTATACCATTTCAGACAACTGGTTGCCCAATTT